TTGTCAGGAGGATTTAGAAGACTCTAGTTTATCAGATTCTGAATAGTTTCAATTAATTTTATATGTTGTGATTATTGAATAATATTTTGAAATGATTGAGTAGTGAAAAAGTGCGCGACGCACTGATAAACCACGTTATAATTAATTCTCAAAATTAATATACTTCTCAAAACTATCAATAAAACCAAAATTGAAAAGGTAAGAATCAGAAGTACTATTCAATATTCATAATTATCGAATTAATAAGTCTTTAGAGGACGAACTGCAATGTAGAAACCGAGGTGCCCTGAAAAACGATTCGAAGAGTGCAGCGAGGCGAATTGTTTTTCCGGCACCGAGGGGTAAAACACTATTATAACGCAAGTGGCTAATGTATAACGATGAACATTTTTCCTGAAAATCACGTGAATATTTTCAATATTAGTACACTTCATGATTATCAAATTAGATTATCAAATTAACAAGTTCTCCGGAGGACGAAGAAAAATGATTGGAAAAGCACAGCGAGGCGAATTATTTTTCCGGCACCGAGGGGTTGGAGTCAAAGCTCGTTATATTATTATTAATAGGCTATATTTAAGTGGACAAGATAACTCAAGGGTACTCATTGGGATTTTTCAATATCCCGCCCCGTTAGCGGGTTACTCGTGGGTTACATACAGTAATAATATTATGCCGCCAGAAAGTCCGCAACTCGGGTAGACGGGCATACAAGAAGCACATACCATATAACGGTAAACGTACAAGGGAGTAACCTAGTCCTTTTAGCTCCCGAGTTGCGGAGCATGAGTACGGGTAAGCCAAGGGTCCAACGGTCACTAGTTTTCTTAGTTCCCGAGTTGCGGACTTTCTGGCGAAGTATCCACACATCAATAATAACCCGCCCCGCGGGGCCCCGTTGCCTGGCTCGGGCCGCCGCCGTCATTGCCAAGGTGAAGATTGGGCGCAGCAAGAGAGATTTGAGAAGCTAAGACTGCGTAAGTGAGAGGCTAGATTTCTTTACTTAAGTCTTAAGGACCTCTTCTCGCCGGGTCCTGTTTACAATCCAAAACTTCAAAACTTTTGCGATGGTTGTATGCGACAACATTCCCCTATTCTCTCATCTTTCATTCAGAATCGGACTAACCTGCACCACTGCTCACCTACCCCTCTTTCCTCACCTATGAAAGACCCTGCTTTCAATTATACCAGGGTTTGTGGGGCCAACCAAAAATGTCTTACAACCTCCTCATTTACCCCTTCTCATCTACCCTTTACAATTATCTACCCTCCTCTGCTTTTTATGGTTTATGCTGCATAAAAACTGTCTTACAACCCAACCTCCTCATTTACCCCAGTGGCACTACTACCCTTACAATTACCTACCCTTATCACCTATGAAAAACCCTGCTTTTATTTATACCAGGGTCTTTGAGGGCAAAGATGTCTTACAATCCAACAATTACCTACTCTCATCACCTTATGAAAAACCCTGCTTTCACTTCTATAGGGTCTGTGAAAGCAAAAGGTCTTACAATTCAACACTTACTCTACCTACTTTTACAATTATCTACCCTCAGTGCTCACCTATAAAATACCCTGTTTTCAATTCTACAGGTTCTGTGAGGCCAAAGATGTCTTACAATACTTACCCTTCCAACCACCGTAGGGGTCTATCTGTACAGTGTACATGAGGCACAAAAATGCAATATTATGCACCCACCGACAACACACCACACTTCGGATGTTACAGTAAGTTGTTCGGATCCGAACCTTAGTAAGGTTTTGGTGTGTGATTAGATAGATTATCTCGCTTAAGTCAGAATTTCATAATATCACCCTTGTAATAATACTATATCCACCTCTCCCCCCTTCTTTCGAAATCTCCACTCTTTCGCACGGACTCCTACAGTAGTTTGCTTAGAGTCGACCACCTTTCCACCCTTTTCATCTTTTCTCCACAAACATCAATCACCTCTTCCTCTTTCCATCTTTTCTCCACAAACGTCCATCACCTTTTCCCCTTTACCCCTTTTCCCAACGCCATTATGACATCACATCCGATCAGGTCTAGAATACTACAAGTAAGTCTTATCATTCAATCGGCATCGGTGCAAATAGACCTGTCTAAACCTTATGATCCCTTCTAACTAATTATTTGCAGACTTTAGATGGTGTTGACGTTAGAAACAATCCCGATGTCTCACCGGTAAGATTTATTCCTCACACACTGTTTCGATTCTCCTTCCTGTCTGCCAGCCTATTCCGAACATATTTGGTTTCAAGAGAAGTGGAATCACAGTCACCTATCGATTTCGAACTTTTCCCTCTACCACAAGGACAAGCAAGCTCCCATTTGTTCCACTTGACTTCAAACTCATTTCACCTCAAAAACCTACCTACTTTGGCGAGGGGGGAGCTTCTCCTTGTTTGCGAATTGTGAGACTTCAGCTATCTTATTGTGTGCAAAAATTCATCTGGTGTGGAAATCAAGCTCTGTAATGGGGCCTGGTTGTGGCTAATCTCCCGATCTGTGTGACCTTTCCTTCAGTCATCGGGTTTGAGGGTACCATGGGAATCATCGGCCCTTCACACTGTCGTAGACCTGAGCGGCAGATTGAGTTCCAGGGCGTTTTTGCTGGATGCTGGGCAGGAAGCATTTTCTTTTCAGTGTGAGATCTTACTCAGCATAGCACATCGCTGACTTGGATGGTTCGTTGCAGAAAAATCGGTTGTCTCGAAGAGAGTTTCTTCAGTGGAGAGCTGGTGTACCCGAGGATCAGATTATGGCCCAACGACAACATGAGTAAGTCATTTTCTTGATATCTGTCCACATCAATTAGCACATCACTGACATCATATATACATACATATAGTGCTACCCCCGAAAACATAGACACTCCAATTGAGGCATCCTTAAGTCAACAGATCGAAGTTATGCAGTTGCAGCATGATTTAAGGCACAATGCTACTTCTTTCATGTATGACAGGATAGATGAGAGTTCTCGGCTTGATGCTGAGAGGAAGGATAGGAGTTGTCGGCTTGATACTGAGATGAAGATGAAGGCTTTGTCTCGCAAGAATAGGAGTCGTCAGCTTCATGCTATGATGAAGGATAGAAGTTGTCGGCTTGAGGCTGAGATGAAGACCAAGTTTATGAATTGCAAGTTTCAGCTTGCTATTCAACTTTCCCAAATTGTTAGTCCTCACTCCCCAATCCCTCACCCCGCATGCTATCAGAAGCTAACCAGTTATTTAGATCCTTTGGATTCTTCTCGCTGTTGGTATCATCGCAATGTTTTACACAGGCAACGATCACATAGCCTATGCGTTTATGATCCCTGTTCCCCTTTGGATATCTTGGCTCTTGTTTGAAAGACGGCACTTCCCTCCTGGTGTGTCGACATGATTACTACTTGCTGGCAACTGGGAAGATCGGAAAGTTTTCAAATTCATTTTGACGATAGATAATTTATTTGACTCTTGTATCTGTTGAGTTTTGTGCAAAATGTTTCCCTTGTGAGGTCCATCTAACGTAACTTGTGACTTGAGGTACATATAATGACGAAAGATGGTGGTTGCAAGGTCGAGTCACATAGAGTGTTTTAAAGTGAGGATGTTAAACATATCAATTGTGGCTGAATGTTTATAAAAGTTGTGTGATTTCTCTTCTGTTTGTATGGGATAGATATTATCTTAGAGTTTTGATATGTATGCATCACTGTCACTATTGTATATACATACTAACCTAAACAGTAGCGAGATAGATCAAAGCTTAGATCATCTCAATAGAAGCTGATTGATTATAAGTTGCCAGCAACTCTGTTTCAATACACTTCTTTAACCTGCCGACGACAACCATCCGGTGGATCTCAAAAAGTATTGACTTGACGAAAAAAAAGATTACCTTTGAAACCTACGATATTTCTTGGTTTCACGAACATGCATGCTTCATGCATAACTTTAGTCACCACTCACTCTCCTGGATCCGACTAATATCTAGATCCTACCTACTTCCCGCCGCTTCAGCTAGATATTTGTTGTAGAATCAAAAAGTACAAAGAGTAGGGATTATATAAAGCGGAAAGGAAAACACGCGAAAAGTTTCCACCTTCGAGTTATTAAAGCGTTCAGAAACTTGGGCACATCTGAGAGTACACTATTATTAGAGGAAATTGAAAAATATGGAGAAAGGTCAACATGATAGCGAACCAACCCAAGATGAAATCGCCTCTAAGATTCCTCTTCCCTGCGACCCAATTCAGGACGAGCCGATTACTTTGAAGGAGGAAAGATATCCTAATGCTTCATTTTCGCGCAGCTGCCGTAGCTCTTGCGGCGCCACTCGTACCAGTCGGTATGATCGGCGGTGCCCCGCCATATCCAGGTATCGCTGATGTTAATTCTGAACAGGAATCCACAGGGCCGTCCATGAAAAGTAACAACTTCCGAATCAGTTTCCACTTGCTACTGACTGTGTGCAGAATCTTGGAACCCTCGATGTATTATACCCAGCAGAAAATAGAGCGGCACCTGTCCGCCGTTCATGGAACCATCTTCCTGCCATTCCAGCCTCTGACTGATGGAAAGTGGCTCTCCAGCTGTAAGTGTGGATGCCTTATACCGAACTGGCTCCAGCTCTCCATATCCCTCCCCTCTTGCCTTTAGATATTGGCATTGATCATTTGGGAAAAAGACATATTTCTCGATCTCTATCTAGTTTTTCTGCCTCGCAATAAGTATCATCCCAGTCTGGCCTAGTACCGCGATGTGTATTGTATGCCAGATATAATGTTCATATCAATACCATGTTCGTACACGTCGACGAGTAATGATATATCACCAAATCAAGCGATAGGATTCTCTGGCTTTGATAAACAACACCGCGCGCATTCAAAAAGTGTTTTGGGTGCTTGTTCACAATTTAGGAATAACAAGTATATCGTCCATCACTTTACCAGACATTCAAATATCAAATCATGCCACAGTCATCTTCCGAGTTGTACTCCAAAGTTGGTGAATCACCCGTATTGTACTTCATTTCTAAGCTAGCACCCCGCCATATTTTGTGTATGGATCTTTCTTTTCCCCTACCAGACTTCCCGCTAGTTTTACCAGTCACATACTTATGTATTATTTCAATTTCACAGAGTTATGATATAGAGAGTCATGAAGTTCCTTTTGCAAATCATCATACTCACAACATTTTACCAATTACTCACGGGCGATTTTCATGCTATTAGATTTGTACATAAATTTGCCCTCCTTTGCATTTCCACACACAGTCTTTGTTTCAACAAGAGAACAACACAACTACGGACAAAAATTAAAATCTTAATTATTAGACCCCAAACTTTGATTACCTCAATATGTCTGATCTTTATAATCACCCCGAAAAAGGCTCAAGAGATAGCCCTTATCAAAATGATCAGCTTGATCAACGTGGTCAACATCATCACGGAAACTTTGGCACAGATCGTACCACAAACACTATTGCTTCGTTTCAAACTCATGGCACCGCTCTTGATACTATCAGTAGGAGCGACAGCTATCCAGAAAGCCAGTCCGAATATGCCTATCGTCATGGTAAACCGATAGAGCCAGATGTAACAAGAAATAACTTTGAGAGTTCAACATTACCAGTTAACACCCACACCCAGTACAGTGGCAGCCCAGCTCAAGTTGAACCCCAGAAGCGCAAGTGTAAAGTGGTTATGCCACTAGACGGAAGTTTGTGTAACTCTGATTGTCAGCCGGGAACCAGTATATGCATTTTGCACAGCAATGCCATGTTACATCCTCCTACCAACATGGCTGGAACGAATCATTCGCCATCATATTTAGCAGCCAGCATCACATTTCCCCCCCTCCCTTCGATGTTCAACAAGGCTCACCAATCATCATATCCTCGAACCCCCAGTTCCAGGTCTCAGCACATGATCCAACCCGCCAATAATACACAAACCACCCAATACACAACTGGCAATCAAAGTTTTCAAAATCCAGCTCCTCCAAGTGGGTCATTCGAAGCCTATCGAAGAGACGTTATGAGTATGGACCACATGCTATTACCTTCACCTGTGGCACCAACTTCTTCTGGATCTACACCTTCTGCTTCTGTCAAAAAGCACAGACGAACTGAATTTCCGACATCTGAGCAGACGAGCGCGGATCCGCCCCAGAAGAAAAGGATGCTTGAACGCAACCCAGCCTCCTCTACTTCCAATTTCACCACACCTGGATCATCTCAGCGATTCACCATCAAATGTATCTCACCGGCTTCAACCCCAAGCAGGATAAGGTGAACCAGCTCTCTGTCGAAGCATCCAATAGGTCAGAGTCCCAACGTCGATCTCGGTCTAAGTACGAACAGATGTGTGACAGAGGTTCTAAGAAAAAGGCTTCACATCGCGTCTGAAACGCATCCTTTTGTATTAATTGCTTTGCACTTGATTCCGTGGGTATCAAGTCATGTAAGTGATGATTAATTCTACACAACTGGTCAATCAATACATGCAGAATATATTTTGGTAAGTGTTTGAGTGGAAAGGATTACGATGCTTGCGAGTCTTGTTGGAATGTAGATGTTGGAGCGGATAGAGAGAGAGAGTGGGCTGACTGGTACCTAAAGAGAAACGAGGATCGTGAAAATCATGTGACTGGAGAGGTACAGAAAAGCCACTTGGATGTATTGAAGTGGAATCATGCGTTTTGGGGTTTAGAATTTGTTTTCGGTTTATTGGTCTCATGAGGAAAAGTTGTTCTAGGAAATACGAGAAAAGATGAGTTCTAGGTAGGTATTCATCGAGAAGGATATGTAACACTAGGATATATATTTGTTAATAAGATCAATATATAATTATAGATTATGTAAATATTTCTTTTGGTTAATTAGAAGATAATGCGACTCTGTGAGCTTTGACTGTATATTTCTCAAACAGCCTGAGTACCTATATGGAATGCAAGCATGACGCTTATACGTGAAAATAACATCTTTACGTACCAAGGAACTCATAGATAATCCTTACTTTGAATGAAAATGAGGACCCAAGAGTGCTGGAATCTAGAATGGGGTTAACCTAAATAGCTTGATGACATTCTAAAGACAGGGTATATATTCACTCCCCTGATCCATCGAATCACCCTTAACCAAGATTCGCAAACTAAACACCTGATTTCTCATTCATATTCAGATCAATACTCCTAGAATTTTATGTTCCAGTATCGACAGTTCCTGTTTTCTTGCCATCACTATTTGAATACTTCAATCATTTATTAATTCAGAACGCCAAGTACGGAGTTATATTCATATATAAAGTCCAGCGCATATTATAAACTAAGTACTACAGCCAAAGATAACCCCCGAAAATGATATCCAAAAGAGGAAAGCACACAGTATAAACTCCTTGATCAAAGTCGAAACTTCGATCCTCAATCTCAACGTAGCAGAAATAGAGAAAGTCTACATGACCTCTACTCCGAGCGTCAGAACCTCCAAACTTCCGAACCATTAAATCCACTATATCCAACCCTTCAAAAAACCCATCTAACTATCCACTAGCAAGACATAAGATCATGAAAACCATCGACAAATACATAATAGCAGCCCAAATGCACACGATGCACAAACCATTACATCCACCACAAAACCATGACGAAAAAGAGAAACATACAAGATCGGCTAACCCCTATATCAAGCATGCATCACCACATATCTCCTCCACCCCTATATCAGTACCAACACCGAACTACACTTCCAAAATGCTCTCTCCTCCCATTCCCATTCCCAAGCAACAGCAATATCACTTCTTCGGATTCCATTGTTTCATCCACCGAGCAAGCCTCATATCCTGAGCCATCGACGACTCCGGCATCTTCTCATTATAATTCATACAAACCTTATGAAGATTCTGAGTCCTGATCTCCTGATCCTCTACCGGATAGAACAAACATCCATCTTTCTCTTTTCTATATACCTTTTGTTTTTTTTCTCCACTGCGTTTCTCATTCCTGTCCTCCCATTCTTTGGCTGCTTGGATTTGTTCTGCGGTTACGATTTCCCCCGTTTTCCAATTCTTGGTTATTATGATGTCGCGATTGTTGGGGAGAATTTCCCATTCGAACGCTGGGTCTGGATCGTCAGGAGGTAGGAGGAGCCCCTTGATGATGTATTCTTCGATGCGGTCCAGCCTGACTTTGGTGATGCAGGATTTGCATAGACGTGGGTCCGATTTTTTGTCGGAATAGTCGGCGCAGTTGTAGTAGGACTTATAGTAACAGGTAGGCATGATGCTGATGGAGTTAGCTTTTCTTCTTCTTTGAGTTGGACATCATACCTTAAAATTTGTGCCTGAGCTGATTGAAGATGACTAGTTTCAAATTCGTTGGAGGAAGATGCGCGATGCGGTATATATAATGCAAATACTGACTATTTGATTACGTAGTGAGGGAGTTGAGGTCTTGATCCTATAGTACTGTGAAGTGTAGAAGGAAGGAAAGAAAGCAGAAGTGGGAGAATGCAAACTATTTAAGCACCGAAATGCTGGCCAAAGTTCCATTTATGACTGCATTTCCTCAAAGAATTGATAAAAATATGACAGTGTGAGCAATACTGATATTTGAGAACCGTTGTGACTGGACCAGACTGGTGCAGGACTGAAAGCCAAATCACGAGGGAAAGTGTTCTTCATTCCAATTCATATCACAGCACCGTGTATATTATGAGTGTGAGTCTGTGTGGCATATCCAAAACCAAAGGGGTAAAGCTAACTAACTCTTCTCAGTCATTCATTGTAGGATCCTCTCTATCCAGCCCCTGGAATCGCTTACATCGGCGCGAAGTTCAATGTTATCCTTCAACTCCATTCATACGAAATTGAGGCCGGTTATGAATGAGATACTTAAAGTTCACCAACATTTGCTAGAATGAGAATTTCACAGTGACTCAACTTCAGTTGGAGGTCATAGGTAATACTCAAGTGGGAATGATGAAGTAGACATGGGCTCGCAGTACCAAGACATTGTAAGTCTTACAAATATCACAATATGCCAAAATGAAACACATATGCAAGATCTCAAGCGGATGTAGATTCATGTAAATCCATTAAGTAAACTCCAAAGCAAACTATTAAAAAGCAACATTTCATCCCATAACAGAGTAGCCAGGCAGCCCACTGAAACCACACCAAGTAAGATTCTCACATCATAGATCCAGACCCCCTCCCCAAAAAGAATACCCGGAAAAGACTTTTGAGCTCCCAGTGGAGTGAACAAGTACCAAATTTAGCAGACCAGCACTTAGTCCTACCCATACAGACCCGAAAAAGATAGATAGGAAAGTGCAAAGTAATGATAAAGTACCCCGAAGATGTCAGTTCTAAGTGACCATATTAAATCCACCACACATTCGAATTGAAAAGCAACGAAAAAGACACATGCCAAAACTCCCTGTCAAAAATCGGCCTCAAATTGTGCAATTCATATCTCGCAAAGGGTATCCAATATTCCAGACTGCAGTCCAACAATGAGATATTCTTAATTCCTGAATATATCTCAAACATTATTTTGTAGTAAAACATTGCCAGTGATTATTTCAAAAATATTGAAACTATTTCAATCATTAAATATATATGAAACAACGAATTGCTTGAAACAGTTCAATTGTTTTCAGAGACTATTAGCATTTCGAACATTGGAAGCTCTCTAATTGGACTGCAGACCGGACTGTTGGATACCCTGCTTGGGAATATAGAGTCAATTGACTATATGTGAATGCCTCTAATTGACTCGAATTGGATCTTTGATATCACTCTCGGCGTGGCCGTTTGCCACGATCTGTAATTAGTAGCTGCGGTATGTCCTTGTTTTCCTCGCAGTGAGCTATATCACGACAAAAGCGTTCGCCCGGAACAATTTCGCTCTTACAATACGTGGTGCGGTTGTTTTTACCCTTCATGCGTTGTTGGCATGCATCCACTTTATCCTCCAATTTTATTGGGCGTAATCCAATGGGGCTATTTTCCCAGCGGTGCGTTGGGTTGTTACAATAGCCATTGGTGCCTGTAGCTAGTTCCTCACAACGAATGATTCCTCTTCTTTTGTTGTGAGCGTCTATCCGGAATTTCAAAGCTTGAGCGCATTTGAGCTTTGTATCATTGCTTTTGTGGGTCTTACTGATCTTAAAGTCACGATTTACTGCTGTATCGTCGTATTGCGCAACTGATACTTCGCCTCGTTGTTGCCCAGAAGTTGGTGATTGAGGATTATTATAAGCCGAAGAAGCTTGTGCTCCAGATGTGTAATGTTCATATGTTGAGAATTCTTGAAGTTGCATGTCTCCTTGTCGTCCAGAAGTCGATGGTTGAGGATCATTAGTAGCTAGAGCAGCTTGTGATTCAAGATGTACACGCATATGTTCTGGAATCCATCGATCCCACATGTCTTCTTGTTGCATATTAACAAAATCATTGATGGACTTCCATCCATGCTCAAAGCATGGGTGGCACACTCCACCATGCCCCTGATAGAATTCGGGACATTGAACTCCTTCGTACCATAATGGGCATTGGTAAAGTGCGGGTTTGGACGTTTTCATACGTCTGTAACATGAATCGCACATTTGTTTCGTTCTATCTGTAATTTTCACTCCACAGAAATCTCCATTGGGTAGGTCTTGATAACATGGCGTGATGGAGATCTGTTGCTGATGGCGATTAGACATGATGCTAGAATAAATCAGTTAACAATGTTGACGATAGACAAATGTAAGAACTTAGCATTTACCCGAAGGAGACAACAAGTCGACGCTAATGATATGTCTGTATAGGATCGGGGGAGAGAGTGATCTTGAAGGAATAGCACAATGTAAAGATTGATGATGACACGGCAACAATCAAAGTAGATGTTTGGATTATTGTATGTGGATGTCGATGATCGAGGGAAAAATAAACTCCGTGGTAGCTTTTCCTCAAACAAAGATTGTAAATACTAGATAAACCGATGTGGATTTTATCGAAAGTAGAATATGATCGAGTATGTATGTATGAAATGAAGTGGAAGCAAAGCCGGAGAGTAGTCTTGCAAAGTTCTAATATGCTTTAAATGTGAAGTGAAGGTCCTGAGATTTTGATATCTTGCAAGTTGTTGTATGGCGAAAAAAGAAAAGGGAAAGAAGATGGGAAACTCGAGCTATTTGTGAAGAAAGAGAGTCCTGCAAATGTGCTGTGTGATTGTGTTTATTAAAGCCAAATGCCATAATCATGACTGAATTGTCTGTAAACTGAACATTTTCCAGTCATTTTGTGTAAAAATTCATCAAGGATACTGTATTGAAGGATGATTTTGATAAATGAATTGAACTTTGAGAGTGCGGACACTCAACAATAAATACTGTGACTATATAGAGAACTTCATATCTTGACAAGAGACACTCAAAGTATTGATTGATATAATATATCATTTCCATCTCCGAGTTCCTTTTTATATCTAGCTACTTCGATCAATCCAAAGATTCATATCACTTGATATGGACTCCTCATTCTATGGATCGAGACTGAAAAAAGGAACACTCATGTATCAATCCTCATATATGATTATACGAAAAGAAATCGTGAATCAAGAAAATGCTTTACATTCAGCCCTCAAACGATATCAAGAAGAACTGAATACTGCGACTGTGAAAGCCTTAACTGACACCTTAACTGTCCAGACACATAAAATCGCGAAGAGACTGAAATGACACCGATCTCAATCCCTCATTTCCACATTCAATTGTAAACAAAGATTCCAAAATTCATATATTACTTAACTCAACTCAAGAATCAAAATTCACTCAATCCTCACGATTATCTTGAATTCCAATTTACCACCAAAGTTAATCGATTTGATTATATTCTACGGTAGATTACTCTCATGCCACGAAAATCATACTTACTTTACTCTTATATCACTTAGATTCTATAATAGAATCTGTGGTAGAATATATGATAGTATGGTGGAGGGTAGATATGATGGGAGGTCATGGTAGTAGGAGGATAGAAACTATAGGAGTAGAATCTATAATCAAAAGCTTAGAATCTACAGTACTCGAGTAGAGAATCTAGTCTTTTTAGGATAGATTCTATATGATATGATTATCAAGTTTATTAGAAGTTAGTAAACCTGAATAATTCAGCTTTTATTAAGATATCATATAATAAGTATTGAATTTAAAATATTATATTATAAGTTCTATAGTACAAGAGGGGCTTTAAGCTGGATTACTATAACTAACTACTATAAATATTTCAATAATATATTAGAAATTCAATATTTATTATTTTTTAATGAAATCTATAAATACAGGTTTGTTAACTTTTAATGAATAAATATATATAAGTTATATTTATTTTGTATAAATACTTAGAGTTATACTAGTATCGAATATAAGATTACTATAGTGTTATTGTAATGAAATCCCAGAGCGTACAAGAAGGGGTGGAAGTTGGTAGAAGTAATAAAGTCATATAAGAATTGATTGAACTATAGAACTAAACAAGAGGGAAATATCGTAGTCTTATATAGCCTGATAGAATGCCTAGCCCTCTCCAGCGGAGGCCTAGCCCTCTCCTGTTGCACCTAACAGTATATACCATTTTGTGCTAGTACAGCCGTCCGCGGCGCGCTGCTCCC